GCATAACCGTTAAACCATGGTCTACAAGATCCACCACTAGTATAACCGTTAAACCATGGTCTACAAGATCCACCACTAGTATAACCGTTAAACCATGGTCTACAAGATCCACCACTAGCCATAACCGTTAAAACATGGTCTACAAGATCCACCACTAGCATAACCGTTAAACCATGGTCTACAGGATCCACCACTAGCATAACCGTTAAACCATGGTCTACAAGATCCACCACTAGCATAACCATTTAACCATAGTCTTTAAGATCCACCACTATCATGTCCATGGTATACAAGCTCCAAGACTGGTATGACCACTTCACCCTACTCAATAGAAGATGAAGCATAAAAAAGCTTATGATGAACTATTTAAAGATCACGGTGGACAGATGTTTGTCTTCATAGCCACAGATGGATCCTACATCAAAGATAACGAAGAATCTGGTTGGATATTCATGGTCTCGGGGAGCATCAACATTCAGCATAAGACTGGTAGAACATTCAAGCTTCCTACAAACAGGACAAGGATGGAGCTGGATCCAACAAGCAGCACAAGGATGGAACTGGATCCAACAAACAACACAAAGATAGAGCTGGATGTCATAAAGCAAGCTATCCTCTGGATTGCTGAAAGCAGTAAAAAGTGCCATTAACATGATATCTTCAAGAGACTCCCAACCTCAACAGAGTAGAAAGCAACTACAAGGTAATATATCATCACCTGGATGTATGTATCAAGCAATGCTGGAAATGAAAAATCTGGTAAGAGAAGCCCCTTTATTAAACCCTACATATCTCTCATCCTCTGAACTACTAACATGAAAGCTACAATATAGAAAGGTCTTCATGGACATTCAGAGGAAATGAGACTGTTGGAAAATAAACCTTATTGTATAGCTAGGAAAAACAAAGGATGTAAAATATATAGAACTATTATACACACACTGATAAAGGACACCTTTCCTACCATCTGGACGCACAGCCACTGATAACATCAGTACAGGACATCTCTTCTACCATCTAGACACACATTCACTGATAACATCAGTAAAGGACATCTCTTCTACCACCTGGACACACATGCACTGATAACATCACTAAAGGACATCTCTTCTACCATCTAGACAAACATTCACTGAAAACATCAGTAAAGGACATCTCTTCTACCATCTAGACACA